AGACCTGGAATTACTCGGTCGGTGCCAAGGACGTTAATGACTGCAGAACACGAGTTATTAGTCCCTTCCCCCCTCCTACTCCTCCTCCTCCTCCTACTTCTCCTCCTGGTTGTACACCTGGCTCAATGTTACCACGCGACACGCTCTCTTGGCAGGTTGGCGGGCAACTTCGTTTACCTCGAACATGATACCGTCTCCGGTATCCGTGATACGCATCCGGAGGATATGAAAGTCCTCCGTAAACCAGGGCAAATTTCTTCTCGTTGCGATGGTACCTAACCCTTTGTGGTAGGAAATATTCTTAACACTTTGTTAAGCGGAAATTTAATGCAGAAGCTACGCCGTGTCACCGGTTATTATTTCGTAATTAAATATCAAAGTGAGGCAATCTAAATAAACTTCAATATTATACTTTATTTATACATAATAGATTGAAATGAAACTGTGCACGTATCTTTTAGATAACTTTGAATTTTTTTCTCTTGAAATATCCTATATTGCCTTGCGTTTTAAAAATTCAGGTAACCAATGCAAATGTAAACTCGAGTGAACTTGTGACTAGTCAACAATGTGTCAATATGCTTGGCCTTTTACTAGGAAATCTGCATCGAAGTGCTTTAATTTAATTGTAGTTTCACAATCCATTTGTTTCTTAAATGGTATTTAATATTTAATACTTTTAGAGGTATTGAAATTGTATGGATTTGTAGTATGATTACGATATTGCGAATAAATACAATGGATACTGGTAAAATATGTAGCAATGAAATATATGAATGTTTAGGCTACTTCGGTACAAGTTCAACGCATTAGAAAGAAATTAAAAATTTCGTTAAACATATCATTTCATCGAGATTCGGACAAGTAAAGTAAAAAGTACGTATAATTTTTTCTTTCTCTACTTATACAGTATACTCAAATTTGTGAAGAAATAAATAACAGTATTTTATCTAGCGAGAAAAATAGTCCATTATTCGAGCTGCTATTTATCAAGACCACTTTTTTAATTCTACGCAGCACAAATGCCTCGTAAACACATCATCACCATATTGGTATCGTCCACTAGATAAATAAATGTTTGAAAATAAAGTAGAATTGTGGTAGGTCGGTTCGTGTAGTCCACGAAATTCCAAAGAAAAATCGCGTGTGGTGAAAACACACCCGCTAAGCAACCCTGCGGGGACGCGGGGCACGCTCCGTACGCACCCGGGGGAAAAAAAGTGGAGCGAGTGTAGGCTTACAATATCCCTCCAGACGAGAGGAATCGTCGGTTCGAAAGAGGGTGGTCCGTGTGGACCACCAAAAGCGGACGAATGTGCATGTTTTCGACGGCTGTCTCGAGTACGTGAGATTTTTACTAATACGCCCGGCTTCGGAAACAAAGGTCTCCCTGTTTCGTTTTATTTCGTTTTTCTTTCGCTGGTCCGCGTACCTCCATAATACATATTATAGTATAAATCTCAAGGTCTTATTGTTCGACGGCATCCGTCGTACCACGCCGTTTGCAACTCTTCCGTCGGGGACAGATAAAAGAAACGAAAAATGAATGCAACAGCTATTACAATGAATTTTCAAAGCAATAATAGTGCTCAATAAGCATTGTGGGTTTGAATAAAAATTATTCGTACTGTAGTCCCGCATTGCTCGATATATTCCTATTTCACAGATTAACGATGTATCAGAAATAAAGTATTCAAATACATTCAAAGTTATTCAAGCTTGAATTTGAAATTCAACTATATTTTGAGCATCGAGGTCGTGGTTTCGCTATCCATACGGAATATCGTTTTGTTTCGACGAATTCGTATCCAGTTAGAGGCAAATCTAAGTAATATGTTTTTTTTTAACTGATGCATATCGATCGAGGGGATGAAAGGAATTTTCATTCAAATGAAAATAGCGGATTGTTTTCGCGATAGCGGCTATAAATCCGCCGAAAATATAAATCCTCTGGAAATAGAGCGGCGGAATAGCGAGCAAATAAACAGTGGAATGAAACAATGGCTCGCTAATGGCATCGGTAAGAATCGTGGCAACCGGCTACCGGCGCGGCAGCGCGAACGAGACTGCAAGAATGCAACGGCCGAGCGAGAGCGCAATAACGAACGCATTGTTGCCAGGCGCCGCGACAAAGGGCCCATTATGATAAGTATTAACATGTCCGGACGCATCAAGCTGTTCTCTAATAAGTCACTCTCGCCCCGCTCTGCGATTCGATCCGCTCTGCCCACGAGTCACTCGCCAATAGCGTTGCTTTCGCAGGATTTTCAACTGGAATTGCCTTCCGGAGTGTGGCGCCATTACTCAACCTTCGGAAACAGGAAAAGTTCACCCCTTTTACGGTTTCACGTTGCACGCCGTGTGACTCGTGGCTGATAAATATATAGGGTGGAAAAAGCTATCCACTGAACTTGTTTCATAAATGACAGTGTCCTTGTTGGAACAGTCGAAACGCAATTTGTATATCGCTGTTAAGCTTAATGGATGTTCGTTATATGTTTGCTGAGTCGTGCTCGTTACGTATTTCTTGTATTATGAAATTCTACGCCCATGTTTTTCATGGTTATTTTTTTATTTTTTAGTTTAGTTTGAAATTTTTGTTGCGTTTTATGAAGAATGTTTCAACAATTTTTAAATATTCGAGATCATTCAGAGGTTTTGGTTGGTTCTGTTTAATTAAAGGAAGTTTGTATTTTAGATTAACCTTTTTACTTCTCTTAAATATAAACGTAATGTTGCAATTTACATAAGTTTTTGTGTCAGAGAAAAGTTTTGTTTGGTGAAAATACGAAACGTAATTGCACCACGAAAGTGGTTGTCCTTTGTTAATATTTCAAGGTTCTCGACAATTTTCGAAATGTAAAAATATATTTTCGTTATCATAGTACTTTAGCTGATAAGAAGGCAAATGTATTCATGAAAAATATTCTAATTTTCAGATGTCCTTAATTACTTATGGACTGATACAATTCAAAGTTAATGCGGAATATTTCATGTCAGAATTGGACTCTTTCTTTACGTGCGTCATAAAGGATTGAAATAAATAGTTGCGCCATACATATACGGTAGATTGTACTTATGTATAACTAGATGAGTACGAATAAACTTTGTATTAGTAATTTATACATAGATAGATTTTCTTTTAAACTGACTGTCTTATTACTAAAAAGCGATGGTACCACCAAGTTTGAAATGTAGTAAAAATATGATACAAAATGTAAATTTCCTGTAAAGCAAGATTTTACTGCTATTAAAAATATGATATAACTTTGTCTTTGGTTACTATTAGATCTTCTTTTGTTTAACCATTAAACAGAATCTATCAGTTAACCTAATATTCCAAAGAACATCAAAAATATTCTACGTATTGTGCAGAAATTCGACAACAACCAAATCATTAAATCTTACATCACAAAAAAATTCAAACAAACTAAACAAACTTTCAGTTTTCATTTTAGTCCAAGGAATTCACAACAATTTCAACATTTCTCGATCCAATGATCCTATACGCTTGGTGGCCCGACAGCCGACACCCTATCAAATCGAGGTTTACCCTTTCCCGAGCGGACAGCAGCACGCTTTTCGCCATACGTGACCAGCGAGGAACTAGAAATGGTGGCCGCGTTCTTTGAAAAGAACCACATGGCCCCCGATGGGGCGAGAAGAGAACGAAGGAGGGCACGAACGCTCGAATTTCGTAAAACTTCTTTCGACGGTAATCTCCTCTGATCTGGACGGGACGAGACCGACAAATTTCCACGCGACCAAGCTGTTTAAAGAATATCTGTCGGCGGGGGCGGGCAGGTCGAGCCGGATTTCACCGGGGATCAGGTTGACAATCGTTGAGTAGATTGAAAATAAATTGGAACCGTTGGAAATAACAAGGGCTCACCCCCGCAGAGATCGTCCCTCATTCTAATTAGCCGAGTCGTTTCAATTTATCGGTGACATTTTCACGGATGAACGGGCTCCGTAGAGACTTTAAGAGGACAATGTTTAAAAGGCTTTTTCGGAGACGAGGAACAGCTTTAGATCCTGCGCCGCGATCCCGGGTCACAGGCAAATATATATGTATGTTCATCCCGTTTTAATTTGCTTGTGAATTATTCATCTTGTTTATTCTCTTATGCCTGCTTATTTTTACTGGCGCAAAGCCGGAAGATAGAAATCGATTCCTCTCGATGCATGCACAACGATTGGTACTGAAATTCTCGAAGAGAAAATTCTGAAATTGCTTCTTGACACGTGGGCCTTCATGTAAGCATCTGTGATAATTTGGTAAAATTGAGGTCATTTGTTTGATACAGTAGAAATTGAGGAGTTAAGATTTGTCAAAGTGATCGCTTTTTTTTAACCCTTCGCACTCAAGAGATGACTCTCAGTCACCATTTGATTTAATATAACAGAATGACAAAGTGTTATATATAATAATAAGTTCTGTATAATGCATCAATATGTGAAATATTTATATAAAATAGCTTTGTTTCTTTATTTACGTATGTTTTCTCATTAGTTCGTTTCAAATAATGTCGTATATGTTTCATCGGAAAGTGTCGAATGCTTCTAGTGAAAAGCTTCCGAGTACAAAGGGTTACATTTCATACATGTTTACGCAATAAAAAATTATTAAGTTCTCAAAATTTTATACAAAATTCAATGTTTGTGCTAAAGGACTATGAAACTGATAAGATAAAATTTTATCGGTTGTATTAATAGTTTTACTTTCTAGAAATATACTTGTGTGGAAGTTGACGTGTCGAACATCATAGCACCATGCTATATGATAAGAAAAAATAGAATGTAGTTTCTCGAAAATTCTTATTCGAATATTCGGAAGAAAATTTGCAAATTTTTGGACACGTTATACTTTTGTCGGTATTGTATTTTATTGTCCCATTCTTCGGATACTCTTTGCAGAATTAGCTGCGACAATGGTTGTAGCACTGTGCAAATAACCTCAACTTCAAACTGTAGTATTACAAAGAAAACGGTCGACTCACCCTCGTACATCTGCGCATATTGCGGAAAGCCAGCTGCTCTTAGCCATTTGCAAGCCTCTTGTGCTTCGATTTCTGAAAACAAAGTAAAAAATCGTCAGAATTTATTTCCATATCAAATTATTGTTCTTAATGCCTTTGCTTAAGTTCAGTCAAACATAGTTTCATTCAGTTGCAATCCAATATATCTATTCATGTTTAAATACGTTACGTTTGAATTATTGCAATTATTTATTATCATTAAAATTCTTTGTGGCAGGTTCAATTCGTTTAGATTTAATTCTGGTTACGTTCAGCTCGATTAAGCTCGACTCTTGTTGGGCCAAATTTAATTAAAGTTGACTCTAGTCACTCGCGACGCAATCAGATTTGATTCGTGGTAAATCCGGTTCGTATTAGATTCATTTCGATCGCGTTTTATTTTAGTCAGATTTAATTAGGTTAATTCTAAACTAGATTTAATAGATAATTTAACAGTGCTGACTGTTCGTTAAACTCCACCGCATTACTCCTTTTCTTTACATTACTCTTCTATTACTTTATTTCACATCACTCCACACTTCATATATTTGTCATTTTTATATTATAACTTTATTAAAACAACAAAAACATTACTACTACTGAACGGTAAACTACAACTAGAAAAATCCAATAAAAATCGCAAAGGTTACTTGTATATTTCAATTGTACATTGTCTAACACTGCTGTCCAATAACTCATGCCGCAGAAATCTCCTCCTTTATAATTCACGTAACGACGACAGTGATGTTCCATTCAATTTTCCTTCAACGGCAACTTCTCACTTGAGCCTCTTCGTTCCAGCGCAATTCCCCGGGCATCCATAAAGAACTCACTGCCCAATAATAATTACCTCCGATTCTCGTTGAAACGATACGTAACGAGCAGCTATTAATAAACATAAATCAAAGCGGAAGACAACCACGAAACAAGCACGCTGAAAGCACGAAGATTTCAGTCAGTCAAAGCGCGACCGTAATCATCCTCGCTGTTTCACGAGTGAATGCGTTGCACGCGGACGAACAGCGGAATCATTATCGGCAACGATAGGCCGGCCCGAGTGTCCGGTATTCGTCTCGTGCCCGCGATAAACTCGTTTCCAGCGAAAATAGAGGGAACCGCATTTACATGAACAAACATTCCGATCATTAGCGGCCGATCCCTCTTCGCTCTCGACCCGTCCCGGCCGTCCCGACCCGGCGCTCGTTTGGTGAATGAAGGTCTCGTCAGAAAAAGCGGTAACCACGATGAAACGCTGCCCTTCATTATACGAACGAGATACCTTGGCCGGCTGCGGGACCCAACGAGGACGCGAAAAACTTGGCGAGTCGCGCTGCTATCGCGCCGTACGAGGAATGCGTCGTGGGGAATGGTCGAGGGGAGAGGCGGGGACTGGACTTCGCTGGAAAATATACTGCCGTGCATGACAATTACGCCACGGTGAAAAACCGAGTCGCATTGAACGATTTTTGGTCAGGCGTTTCGCGTGGATAAGACATTATTGGTTCAAACGAGAAGACTCAAACGAGACCCGATAACCTGTTAAGGTGAATATTGTGTTTTATCGAGGATGATGTTGTAACGATAATAATTGAAGTTGATACTTACAATTATTACATTTTTATATATTTTATTATCTATTTTATTATTTATTCGAGTATTTACTATACCATTTATTCTATTACCATCTATTCTGTTATTTATTTTATTGTTTGTTATATTGTATACTCTACTGTTTATTTTACCGTTTGTTTCATTACTTGTTCTATTACTTATTTTACTATTTGATCTATTGTTTGTTCTATTATTTATTCTGATATTTGATGTGTTATTTGTTTTAGTATTTATTCTGTTATTTACTCTATTATTTATTCTATTATTTATTCTATTATTGATTAGATATTATTATTTTATTATTGTTCTAGGAACTCGGAAATGGGTATCCAACAAATTATAAACTATTTCGAACAGATTGAATAAAGTAGAATCAGGTGACTAATGTATTCAGTATTAGATGAAAGTTATCAGCATAATGACCCTGTCGCTCAGGTGTTAAGCCGGAGTCCCTTGACTGTAATCGGGCTATAAATCTAATCACGGTGCCTTTATTCGGAGGTGCTATTAATTTTGTTAATGGAATATGTGGAATTATAAATGGGTAAGAATATATTTTAATCTGAATATATTGGTATACCTGTACAGGTGTGATATGCGACTGATTTTTATTATACTTTTTCTGCACCATATAATTTAACCGAATTGGTGTAACGAAACGGCAAGAAACTAATTCCTTCTTTATTACCGGTTTGCAAATATTTATGCAAGTTCACCGTGTCAAACACTGATTTATGGAAAATAAACATGAACAAAATATTATTTTCATTATTGCGGAATTTAATTAGAATCTCTGGAAGATTGTCTTTTTTATTTCTCCGAGTTCTGTTGAGTTACAATGTGCTATAAATGCTTAACATACAGTAGTATATCACTAATGCAACTGATATAGAACTTTTACGTTAATTACACTGTACAGTTTGTTATGTCATTAATTCAATAATAACTCAGGAATACATCATTTTATACGTTTCTACTGAAACAAATGTTGTAAAATTCGAAATATCCTATACAATATGATTATTTTAATTTAAAAGCTATATATTTTTTATATCGCTGAAAAGAAGGATTTTAATATATTACATAACTCAATCGTTCGATTCAAAACAGTCGTTCGATCGATTAAAAGAAATGAATTGCCTCAATACTCATTGAGGAAAATATGTCACTATTATCTAAAGTAAACAATACATGTGAATGAACACAACAGAATGAGACGTCCATTTAAGAATCGCTTCGAACAATGAACATTTTTTTCGATAACGAATCAAAGCTACTGAACTATACTCATTCATAACCTATTTGGCATCTTGGCGTCTGCTGTCGAAGATTAGATACGCCTGGCGTTTCGATAATATTTCTGACCGATATGGATAGTGATAGAATGTCGAGCTTTATCGATTTCGACCGTCAAGTGAAGAGAAGATCTATTACAACACGAGTGGAGCGGATAAAAAATTCTTTGCTACACTCGATCCATAAACATTTAATGTAATATATGTCACCTAACTACAAGCAGAAAGAGTCACTAAACTATACCAACATATCTCTTTATTCTATCGACTTTATCACTAAAATATCTTTCTCAAATATCTGAAAACATCCATATATATTATCTGAATAATGGATAAAAGATAAGAATAGCAAGTAACACTTCATTCGAATGCAATTATATCTGACGCTAATAAATAAACACTGAAAACAATGAAACAACTACTTCCTCGTTATTAGAATTATTTCTACCAGTTACTCTTATCGGTTTCATAAACTACTTTCTCATCTATATTACACAAAATCCTCCCAGAAAATGATTCGAATTTTTATTCACCTAAATGATTCAACTAACCGAAGCTAAATTATAGGAACAAGCGAACATGAGCTATTCACCAAAAACGGTTAGAATAACTCGCCAGGGATACCAAGAATTTCTCCCCCAAATTCCCGACTCCGATTTTACAGTTCCCTCGGTTAATTCAGCACGCTTTCAAGCTGGATTCAACATAATTTTGGTTTTCATCCCTCGAAATTCAACCTTGGACATTTGCATACCAGCGAGGAACAGGAAATCGGTGTCCACCGGAGTCGTCACAAAAGGTCGCGGAACCGTCAGGAATTTCCTCGAGAAGTAGCGGCGGCGGCGGCGGTCGAGTTGCTTTCGAGGACTTCTTTCTACGGTTAATTGGTCGTCGACGAGCGGCTTGCCGAATTCCCACGGGAGATTTCAGAGCCGGAAAAGAGAACAGGTCGCTTGGCGAGCGAAAACGCGAACGGTGGGGGTAAACTCGGTAGAAAAGGTAACAAACGCCGTGAAGCGAGAGCGCGTTTCTGCCTTTCAGGGAGCGACGCCGGGCGGACCACCCGCCGCGGCCAAAAAGGAGAAACTCCTAGCCGCGATATCGACGCGATCGCGCATCGGCCGGGACGATAAAATGTACGCCGGTTATCGCTATCGATATCGGCGCAGTGAATTTATCGATTTCCCGAGCAGCGGGAAGCCGCGCGGCTAGTAAGTAGGCACTACACGCCGGCCAACGGACCAAGATAGAACGCGACAGAGGTTAACGTCTTTATTTCCCGAACGTCGTCGAGCTTCTCGTCCCGCGGCGCGCGACACTACGGTAGTCACGTCGATTGCTACCTTTGGACTGTACGGACTTGAATGGAGTTAGCCGGAGGATGATTTCTATGCGCGAAACGTCCATTCTTTGCGGAAATGTTATACAGTGTACTCTTACGGTTGAGGGACATGTTTGTGGAGTTCACATGTTACGTGTATTTTGTAGAGTAAATTCGAGACTGATTTTGACTTTATGTAGGGAATAGGTAGATGATCGTTATAAATTTTTCTTTTCGTATTAACACTAAACGTACCGCGAACGGTCAAATGAGCGGTGTTGAAATTTGATTTAAAATCCTCTATTTTTCTTCGATCATTTAACATTAAATCAATTCTCATATTACCCGATTAATCAATTTTCCAATTCTTGTCTTTCCTTATGCTTCTGTTTCCAATAAAAAATATTTATCGTTTAACTTGCATACTTTTATCTTATAACTAGCCATTTGGATGGTTACAGTAAGTAAGGTATATACAAAATGTCGGTACTACATTTATATGTACATACAAATATATGTACTTTACAAATGTAGGGTCGTGAATAATAATCGTTAAGGTACAGTTCGTCAGGTTCCACTTAAACAAATACCTTCCACTTTCTAGAACACTCTAAACCTATTAAAACCAACAGAACAAAGGATCCCACGAATCGCGGGAAACAATCAGCAAACCGTTCGCGCAATCAGAGCATTTCAATGAATCCTCAACAGTCGTAACGTCCATTAGAAATTCAACAGGAAGCTCCGGCCCTTTGGTAATATTCCGTGTTCCATTAGCAGCGGCGCGTAGCGGCAACAACGGCGAGATAATGTAACACATGTCGTAA